GATGATGATGATGATGATGATGATGGTATTTTATCAACTCATATAGTGCAGGTAACAGTTTTCAATTTTCAACTGCCAAACTTATAATTTTCTGATGCATGTTGGGATAAGATAGATATGACACCTTTATTTAAACATGACTAAAAAATCAGGAAAGGTCTACCAGTCAGCGGCCATGTGTCTCTGATATCAAAGAAGCCCTGAAATGCACAGCTTAAAGCACAGTTTTTCCACTAGTTATATCCTAAAGCTGCAATGTTTTATTAGGAAATTACAAATAAAGAAGTTAATTATACAGCTTCTCATTCATCCCATATAGGTAACTGTCCAATTATTTTCTTAATTGGACAGGTCTTGTTGATATGGGATTAATTAGGCAGCTATATAATTAATAGGTAATGGGATTTCATGCTCCCCAATCAAGAAATAATTAGACTCGAAAAATTCTTCTGACTGCCAAATTGGACTCAGCCTACGGCCTCATCCAATTTTGTCAGTCCTCAGAATTTTCCTTGTCCAATTATATCTTAATTGGACAGTATGGAGTCCTATTACATATACTAATTAATGACATGTCTCCTGCTGCAGACATACCAGGAGGAACAGAAGTAGCAGCAACACCAYAATCTTCTTCATTGATAAAGAAATGCAAAGTGCTGTCAGATTTCCTCATGATCCCTAGCCTGTCACCTTCCTTCAGTTTATCCAGATCACAAGCATATCCATTCTGTATAGTGACACCATCTTGGAGGACAGAAGACCCAGATAGCATCCAAGTGTCGTGGTCTAGATCTGTCATGGTGTTTGGAAAGCTAAGGTTGGTTGGAGATGTTGTTGTAACTCCTGGAAATAATGAATGATTTATTTGAGATTTTGCTGACAGGTTGGTGCTGCACCATAGGACACAGGGTACATTGCACAATTTTTGTAGCTCCTAGACAGTCAGAGACATGCTTGACAAATGAACAGAGAGACAGATACATGGACAGACAGACAGGCAAACAGAGAGACATCTTACTGACCTGCTTCTAAGGACCCAGACCACCTATCCACCAGCGTCAGAACAATCACCTCAAACATCTCGTCATCTCGTAACGGTCTATTACTCATCACAACAGCATTATTAAACTCTACCAAGGGGTTGATTCTCAATGCGACACGACAATCTTGACTGACAGCCACTTGATCTCCATGTCTTGCGCTTAAGGTGAACCAGTTTTCATTTGTCACTGCTGTGGGTGGGGCAGAGTTCTCGGCTTGCTCAGATTCAGCCTCTTGATTGGCAGGTCTCGCTGAATCGACATTATTTATACATCAAATTGTTAGACTAATCAATATTAATTAGAACATGTAAATAATGTCTAAATCCAGGACACTGGTTGAAAAAACTTTGTTCAAAACAATACAGACCTGTGGGTGTAATATTTTCCCATTTCAGACAACATGAAATTCTAAAGAGAATAAGATTCTATGCTGGAGTTGTATCCATATTCATGTGTCTTCTCATGTGCAATTGTTAAACAAAGAAATAATACTATAGGGAATACATATGGTCTGAAATGGGAAAACATTATGCCCAAGGTAAAGCAACCTATTTAGTAATAAGAGCTAAAAAGATAAATCCATCTACAGATAAGTAATTTAACCAGCTCTTAATAATTGGTATACCTGTGGATTCAACAACATCGGCACACTCTGGTATTGCTTCCCTTGGTCGTCCATTGGTAATCGTAGCCTGTGCCGATCGTCCATAGAGGTCTACCATACCGTAAACACCTTGAGGCACATTCGTTGCTGCCTCACCCATATCTTCACCATTAACAAAGAAATGTAGCGATCCGCTCTCACTGTACTTGACCCCTACTCTGTCACCAACCTATTACATAAATAACATTAATAGTATTACAAATCATTGTCAAAGCAGAGAGCATGGAATTTCCAAGGGGTAGTGAGTGTCTTAGGTCAAGTAGAAAATGACTGACTTGATAATTCTCTGTCATATTTCATATAGATTTTCTCAGTTTCGCAAAGTAAAAACTCAAAGGTCTGTTGCCATGGCAACACTAGTTCCAATAGCAAAAACAAGGTTATGAGCATCCTTACCTTCAGATCATCAAGGCTGTTCCCATAATCTTCCATCGTGGTAGAACCATTAACTACCAGTCCTCCCCCTGACATGATCCATGTCCCGCTGGAAAGGTTAGTCATTGTCGAGGGGAATTCTAGTGTTTCTGGGTTATGATTGGTGAGACCTATTTCAAGTGACCCCGCCCACTTGTCCACCTGCCGATCCACATAAACTTCAAAGAGCTCTCCTGGTTTTATTGGTCGGTTAGTGAGAGTTACGGCATAGTTGAATTCTTCCAATGCCCTATCAATAAACAAAATATTATCTATTTAATAAGAATGAAAATTATTATTATTATCAATATTAAAAGTTCTATTACAATGTTACTCCCATACATTAGAAAAGTGAAGTTATCCAACCACCCAGTAAAATCTCACAAAAAAAATTGTTATCAATAATATAATAAAATCTTGATTTTTCACAAATTTCCAGCATGAAACAACTAGTTATAAACATTAAAGTAAGAGTTATAGGATAAAAGCTGCAAATTCGGCGTAAAAAAGCGTCTACGATCCGTACGATCCAGTCCACCGAAGTCCAGTCCATTCCATCCATGCTCTGTTTCAAATTTTCCAAAATTAAAAAACTCTCAAAATTCAGAAACTAGAAGCATAAACCAAATTTTAGAGGTTGGGTATGCTTTTGTTATACATTGCGATTTTCCATGCCCTCTCAAAAGCTGAAAATTCAACAAAAAATTTTTTGTCATTCTGGAGCCATTTAACCAACATCCAATCCCTTGGTATACACAATTCCGGATTTTCCAAAATGAAAAATCTTTTAAAATGTGACCTAATCAAGCTCAATGGACTAAAGTGTTTGACTGTCAGCAGATGGCAAGACAAGAAGCAATATTGTTATCTCTAATAATTTCTCAATCGGACAAATGTAACAGTGACAACAGATTGCAATCAAGACTCCTTTTGAGTAGGAAGGCTCAACAAGTTGCCTTCAAAACCAGTTGCATTGTCTGAAACGTTTACCCCTTATCTTTATAATATAAACTGTATTACAATGTTGTAATAATAACACATTAACAATACACGACTTTCATAACTGGCTGCTGCTAATTTGAATAAACATTAAAAATCAATGTTTTTGGAATGAAAACCCTTTTAAATCATTGATCTTGTTGATTTAGATAAGGCGTGTGAGTTTCTACTTAAATTAATAAATCCTTTACAAGATGTGAACATTTGAAGTTTTGAAAATGCACCAAAACGAGGCCACCAAGGCTTCCAGTGATAAATACATACAAAACTCTCTATTTTCGTTCTTTCTTAACATCTTTGGTATGCAGTCAAATTCTACAAAATTTTCTGGAAATAGTTTTCGTGAAGTATTTTCTCAGATAGCATTAATAGTTTCTGGTAAAAAGGCTTCATTTTTTTCTATCTGAAAAAACTGAGTTATGAAAGTCGTCTATATTATTGATATTCCTTACCTTGGCCTTAGGGCCGTGCAATAATTGTTTGTAAATGAAACAGCCATGCCGCAACGAGGATGATAGCGTAAAGGTACAGAGTCATTTTCACCTGTAGTACAATGACGAAATATCAAAATACATATTAATGAATATTAGTAAATCATAGTCTATACTATTTCCTATCGCAAGATTTTAAACATTCAATAACTCCTTCCCTCTGCAAATAATTCCAATGGGATTAGATTTTCAAAAAATGCTTTTTGAAATAGGCATATATAAGACTTACTAGTGTTTACAGCATTAACATTTGATGCTTCATTGGCATCATCTTCAGTATTGATTGGCAGATCGTCACCACATACTGTTGCCTTGATCGCAGCACCATAAAGGTCTACAACCCCATAAACAACCTCAGGGATGTCTGAGGCAGCTACACCAAGATCTGCTCCATTGAGAAAAAAGTGCAGAGTGCTGTCTGATTTTCTCATGATACCAACCTTGTCTCCTATCTTGGATGGGAAAGTCAGAAAATATCAATGTTGTCACGGATTATCATCAACATCATGCCATCATCATCATGACCAGCATGATTATCAATATCACCAACACTACCATCATCATCATCATCATGATTACTATTATCATCATCATGATCAACATCATTACTATCATCATAATGATCATTATCATCATCACAACCACCACCATCATGATCGTCACCCTCACTATCACCAATCTTAATGTTATCATCACCATCATCATCACCACCATCATCATGTCGACTATCATCATCACATCATGACCTGATCATAATCCTCACCATCAGCATCGATCACCATCATCATCATCATCATCATCATCACAATTACAATCACCATCATCATCATGACTATCATCCTCACCACCATCATCATCATCATGTCTGTCATCATCACATCACATCACGACCATGATCATCATCCTCACCTTGATAGCCTCTAGACTGATATCACTATAATCACTCTTGATCTCCTTTCCATTGACTATAATTGACGCTGCACTCCATATCCAGGTACCAGTCGGCATCATCGTCATGGTTGCTGGCAGTATGATATCTACAGGATCATGTGTCGTCACACCCACCTCAAGGGACCCCGCCCAAATTTCTGTTAACTTCTCTACTCTAACCTTAAAACATACAAGAAAGAGGGACTGTTGCAAAATGTTTAATTGTGTACATTACCTGTAGGTCCTATACTATTAAAGTAGTTTAAAGGCACTTACTTCAAATAGCTTATCATTTTGTAATGGCTTATTCGTTAACACAACTGAATTTTTGAATTCCTCATTAGGGAGTTGTCTTTCTGCTGTCCTGTTATTGTTACAAAGCTTTACTAACGAGCCACAATGAGGATGGAACACTACTGACGCCGTGGATGGTATCTGGGTTACTTGAGCTGAAATCGTACAAAAGTAATCATAAATTTTAATCTTCCTACCCATAACGGGTTGTTCCTGATAAAATATTTTCTGCTTTCTCAAATTCTACTAACTTCAGAAAAATATACTTTACACTTTGGACCATAAAAATTTCCTCTATCTCACGAATAGGAAATATTTATAAATAAGTAGATTCTGATGATGTTAATTAATATTTCATCTACGTATACCACAAGAATGCAGAACAAATATATTTATACTGCCCCAGAATTTTTGAAGACTAACTAAAAATTGCTTTAGTTCAAAATGATCAATCGTTTTAGGTTATGAAGTCAAAATTAAATAGTCAAAATGTTTCATCAAATATAAGGAATATTGTTTGTGACCAATAACAATTAAAGCCTTGTCATACATCACATGCATATAAGCTTACAATCTAAGGTAATATTATGTGTATATTGTGGCATTTATGCCACAATTGCTCACCAGCTTGTGCATTAAACGCCTTGTAAGTTGATACTTCCACACATTTTCCATACAAATCGACAACAGCATGAAGACTTGGGGGCACATCTCTACAAGCCACTCCAAAATCATTACCATTCACAAAAAAATGTAAACATCCATCAGCCAAACGACTCACACCAACTCGATCCCCTTCAGTCAACTCATCTAGATCTCTGCCGTAATTCTCCAGTATTGTTATGCCATCTTTTATCACAGTAACACCTGACATTATCCAGTAACCATTTTTTAAACCAGATGCGCAAGCAGGAATCTCGATATTACAAGGATTAGCTGTAGTCACACCAATAGCAAGAGAACCAGACCAACTACTTATCCTTCTATCGACACGAATTTCAAATATTTCGTTGTCTTTTAATCTGTGCTGGCTAAATATGAGTCCATTGTTGAATTCTACTCCTGGGTTTCGTCTTCTAGCGGTTCTGTTGTTGTTTGATAAATAAATTAGTCTGCCGTGTCTTTGGTGGAACTCGTCCGCCATCTTGGTTCTTGGTCCGTCCGCTGACCGACCACCGTGTAATGGTGGACCTTATAAGGACAGAGTTTAGTAATATCGACCATAGATCGAGAGTATAGGATACAGACTTCTATCGCTCTTCTTTTCATCTTCCTTTTTTATGTTTCATTCATTCATTCATTCGTATGTGCACTATTCAATCTTTCATTCATTCATTCGTTCATTCTTTCTACTTAATTACCTACCTTCCAGTTCTTTCCTTCCTTCCTTCCTTCCTTCCTTCCTTCCTT